CACACACACACACACACACACACACACACACACACACACACACACACACACACACACACACACGCACACATGCACACACACGCACACACACTACATTGATCTCATTTAGGTCATTTATTAGGGACTAAAACACACACACACACACACATGCACACACACACACACGAACATGCACTCTCACATGTAATTGTAACATCAGCCTGTTGGCATGGCGACCGCAATCATCCGGCAGGGCGACCCACTTGTGATGTCATCGGGCGAGGCGTGTGTGATTGGCCGGATGATGAATGGCTGCTGAGCTGAGCTGGGTAGTAAGCTGACAATTACCTGAAACACAGAGAGAGAGAGGGAGAGAGAGAGAGAGAGAGAGGCAGTGATGGTCTCTCGACCGGCTCTGAGTCTGGACCAGATGCAGTCAGACAGAAAATCAAATCCAGTGACGACAGACGAGATTAAAAACATGAGACACTTTGAAATGAAATAATATCTGTGGCCCGAGGGCGAAGTTAGAAAAAATATTCAAGTCAAAGTACGGTGGCCTGGAAGGACAAGAGAGGAAACATAAAGAGAAACTTTCCACAAATCCAGAAACACACATATCTCTAGAGAGCGAGAGGTTTATTGTTTCTATTGTCTCANGTGTGTGGGGGGGGGGGGTTATGGTTTAAAAAATGAAACTAAAATGTAAACTGGAGAAGAAGACTAGCAGGGTGCAGTTCCCCTCTGAGCCAATCAGCATCAGAGCGATCAGCTTGTTGTGACCTCATTACAGCGCCCCCTGCTGGGTCGTCACTGTCGTCCTGAGGGACTGACATCATCAGTCATTAGAGACAAAGACAAAAACCTTCTCCATGTTTAAGGTTTAATATTTGAAATCACAGTTTCACTCTGAATCATTCATCAAAACTCCCGTCTCATAATTTAGATTGATTGATTGATTGATTGATTGATTGATTGATTGATTGATTGATTGGAATCATCTGGTATTAAGACCCTTGTTTGGACAGGACTGTTATGGATGTCGTGGAATTAGAAAGTGATATTTGCAGTTCTGGTGAAAAATGTGCAGTATTTAGTTTTTCTGTATCTATATGTACTATATTTACTGTATTATATGTATATGTACTGTATTTATATATTATACAACTGTTACACAAGCACTAAATTAGTTAACAGTAATAAGCTACATTTTTATTTCATCATTTATTTGGCTGCACCAGCACAAATAGTTTCACAACTGGACTGGTACTGGACTGTTGCTAAGCAACACACAAACATTTTCCTGACCTGCACATTCCTCTTCTGACAACACAGACATCATGGAAATCATTTTCATCGTTGCAAAGTTTGTTACAATCTAAGACAGATAACGACTAATTAACAGATAACAGATCACCTGTGAGGCGGAGTGATACATGGAGTTAAAAGTCCCGGAGCTGTTGTACTCTGCATCAGCTCTCATGGAATGACTCTTGTCCAATGAAATGACTTGGACAGAACTAACTGTTATAATTACATTTAGTGGTTATGTGTAATTACTTCTCACGTCATATTCGTTTGTATTTATGACCCTTTTCAAGCAGAAATATCAAATATTCTGAATCTGGACGATGTGGATTTATGAGGATTCTCTTTAATGAATTACTGATGATCGTATTGAAATACATATAATAATAATATATAATAATATTGATGTTGGAATAAAATCTCCTGTCCGTCTCTGTGTCTCAGTGTTCGTACGTCCCCCCCTGTGAGAGGGACAACCAGAAGAACAGAGACAGTGTTTTGTGGTGGGAGGATTACTTCACCAAAGAGGTCAGCAGCCAGTCCTTCATCTGCTTCTTCAACCAGCAGAGGAGGTGAGACACACACACACACACACACACACACACAGTTACAATGCAGTCTATTTTAAGGTGTGGTGCAGACAAATTGGAAACAGGAGGATGTGTGATGCTGTGAAACTGACAGATCATTGTTACCGCAGGAGATTATTACAGATGAGCTGCAGCGACCAGCAGCATTACAGAGGCGTCTTCTTGACTGAACCTTTTTCCACTTCACAATTTACTGCTGGGCGACCTTTGACCCTGCAAAAGTGGCCTGTAACTTCAATTTAACAGTTCTTATTCCTCCGGATCTTACAGCTCTATTTTCAGTCATTGTTGTGAGGGACGTTTTTCACAGGAACAAAGTTGTTGCTGCAAAAAATGTGTTGAAACTTTGAAATGATCCTTTATTAATACCACACTGTAAAAATGATACTGAAGTAAAAGTATGTCATAGTATCAAGAAGCAGGAAAATGATGTACAAAAATGTCCCCTGTGAGTGTTTGTATACAATATTGTTAGATGATTATTATTATTATCATTATCATTGTTATCATTATTATTGAAGCATTAATATGTGAGCAGCATTTTCCGAGATGGAAGTAGTTTTAAATGAGCTAATCTGCTGATTAAACAGTTGATTGTTTGGTTTGTCAGATCCTACAGTGACACTTTAACATTACCTTAAAATAAAAAAAACATTATTTAAATTATTTAAAAAAAAAAAAAAAATTGTCAGGTTTGTTCAGCTGTAACTGTAAAATGATTGATGCTTTATACGAAAACTGTCACGAAAACTTCTGTCGACCAACTGATGGTTTCACCTCTAATTGTAAATATGTTGAGTAGTTTAATTTACAATAAAACATATTTTATAAGCTCCTCATCTGTTAAATAAACTAGTAGCCTAACTAAATCTGTCAGATAAATGTAAAGCTGTAAAAGGTTTAATATTTCCCTCTGAAAGCTGGTGGAGGAGAAGTAGGTTCAAGTCAAGTTAAGTATAAGTACCAAAAATATGCACTTAATTAGTGTCCTAGTGTTTGTTTGGTCTCTGAGCTCCAATAAAAGTAAATTTTAAAGAGCCTCTCTTCTGATTGGCTGACTGTTTTCTGAGTGATCCAATAAAAATATAGAAGATTTCAGGTAAAAACACTCAGAGAAACCAAATCCTGCAAGGTTTGGATGGTGGGTCCAGGTGGGCGGGGCTTGGTGACTGCTTTGTTGTGACATCACAAAGTTCCAGAAGTCCTGACGGCTGGTTTTAAGGCTCAGTTTCTGAATACAGGCTGTGTGCATTTCTCTGTGGACTGAGGCTTTGATACTTTCACAGTATTAATATAGAAGCTAGACCTGATCTATAATCACACTACACATGGACACAGACCTTTACACTGGAGGAGCTTTAATGCTGCAGCGTACAGTTTCCACAGACAAAACTAGCTCCATAAAGAAATGTCCTGATCCCAGCCCCGTCCACCTCCTTAGGGGATCCACAGAGAACTCTCTCTTTCTCTTCCTATTCAGGTTACTGTAAGCACTTTTTATTCTGTGACCGAAAATTGATGAGATGGAGAAAAACAGATCTCCTTTAGTGTGTCAGCTTAATCCTCCTATTACTCACAGACGATGCTTACCTGTGACCTTGGCTGGTTTTATTTATATCTCTGCACCAGAAGGATCGGAACGAGGAAACTCTGCTTCGTAAATGAGAACCCGCCGGGAGCTCGTGATGCAGCAGATAAGCTCTGCTTTACTTTAGAGGGAAACAAAACTGGAGCAATCATCACTTTTTTTTTTTTTTAAGTTGAGAGAAAACAATTAGTCACTACTTGTTGGGTTTGTTTTGGAGGTGGCACGAAGGTTATGTCCCAAAACTTTCTTGTGGTGTCTCAGCCAGTGTATTAGCACTAAAAATCAAATTAACCACATTCGTTACTTCTTTCTTGAACATTAATGTTAACTCAAAGAGGAAAATCTTCTCCTTGGAAAACAATAAGTTATAGTTATTAGTTATTTTAAAAATATTATTATATCTTTGTGAGTTAACAGTACAGATTATTTTAGATAATGAATTTACTGTTACAAATGTCATTGTTGCTTCTTTTTTGCTGTTTTTTCTTTCACTGTTTAAAAAAAAGCAGCTCAAAGGGTAAAATCCCTCCCTTTCCTAGTAGGCTTTTAATGTGAAAAACCTGCAGTGTTGTAGTGTAGAGTTTCATTCATAGTAGTTTAACTGTTATAAAAAAAAATTAAAAAACAGCAAAGTAGAAGTTGACTGTTCTTTGTGTGTTTTCAGGCCAGATGACGTGTTGTGGCGGCGTTCCCATGACACCAGCGTCCTGCTGCACTGCGTCCTCTGGCCAATGGTGTCGCTCCTTCTGGGCACGCTCATCGTGCTCCTGACGGTGTGCGCTCGTTCCCTCGCTGTTCGAGCTGAGGCCCTCCAGAAGAGGAAATGCTCTTATGAAGTTTGCCAGGACCTGTCCAGCGTACCCTCAGATCGCCGCGGCAACAAAGCCGGAGACCTCCTCTCGACGAACTCTGACCCCGAGCTGTCGTCGCCGTCAAGGACCCTGCCGCTGTTTGCGGTGCCGGTGCGACGCCGCGATCGAGAACATTAAGACGGAACAGGAAGTCGTTTTAATGTCATGAAATCTAATCTGTCAGGATGCTGAGGAGCCGGTGGGCGAAGTCGACTGACTGACTGAGGACGCCACCAACAACCCACTGCTGTCTGGTGTGGTTTGTATCAGAAAACAAGAGGATGAAGGGAAATCCACCTGGTTGCCTCTCGATAAACACTGTAGAGAAACATCAGCACCTTTCCTCCGACTGAACAAACTGGATCAGGGAGGACTCTCAGACGCTGCTGAGTCGAATCCTCTAATTTATAATCAGCATTGCTTCTGTACTAGAGTCGTAACGAAAGGTTCTTTGAATTACATGAGTGCTGTCATTGAAAAGTGAGTCAGATTCAAACTTCAAACATGAGGTTCGACACATGGAACTCAACTGCTCTTTACTGAGGTCTTAACTGTAGCTCTTCTATTAATGTAGTTTTCCCTTTGAGTCCCAGTAGCCATAAATGTGTCTAAATAGAGCCAAAGTCGTCACCTTCGGGTTAGCTTCTGTTCCTGTAGGGTTTCATTGACTCATCAAGGGTTTCGTTTACTGTTCCTTGGGTTTACTTTCCATTTTCTCTGATAAACGAGTGTCTACTAAAGCACTTTGATAGTAGCTAGAACACGAACCGCCCGATGAATTGTTTAGCACTGACAAAACTACAGTCCCCGTGAAATTTTACCAGCGTCATCGCAACTGTCGCTTTCCTCTGTAACCAGAACAGATTCGTCCTTCCGACTCTTTGGCTGTAATCTCTGCTGTCTAAGGTCACTGATATACTATCTTTGTACCGAGGCGTACATATAGATAACAGCTGCAACATCAGGATTATTGTTCACATACTTGCTTGTGAACTTTATGTGTATCTGGAGGACTGTATCCACCAGGGGGTAGATTAGGACCTAATCACTAATCAGTGTCCCGTGGCTACACTTGAGGAGGTTGTAATATTGTTGATGTTGAGATCACAGCAGAGAAAACAGGCAGACAAGCTGTATGACTTTATCTTCAAACCTTTGCACCATTGTGAAGCCTACTCTCTGATACTGCCCCCCACTGGACATGTGCTGCATTGCGTTTCAGATTAATTTCCGACGACTTTTGCATCAAGCGCTCCCAAGAAACGCAAGATACACGAAGTAGCTTCGATGCGAACGTGTAGCAAATATGTCAACGGCTTAAAAAACATCTACAACTGTCCTGATGTTGTTGCAGTTCAGTCCTGGATTTGTAAGATTTGGTCACGGGGACCCAGTACAGCCATCAAGACCAGTCAGGACAAATCAACTGGCCTCAATCAGGTTTTAACCAACAATAGTCTTTTTAGTCATGAAATGCTGCTAACGATAGAAATATTAATGATATTAGAATTATATTTTAAATTACCACTGTTATCTTGACATATGGAGCTAACTATACAACACAGTGCTTAGTAAACTTACGTTGTAGAGCTGGATTTGTAGTTATTAACAAGAAGTATTTTACTATCCCATTTATAGTTTCCTGGCTCTATAAGAAAGAAATCAGTCACAGGGTGCAAACTGTACCTCCACCTTAACGAGTAGCAATACCTGTTGTGAAGAATAGTTCCTCCATTAGCCTGTTAACAGCATCTTAATGTTGTAGCTGACCTCTGTAGTATAATGTTGGACTGTTCCTGCGACAGTAATGTATCATATTTATATTTATTTATTCATTTATTATATGTTTCACCAGCTGATAAATAAATGTAGAGGAGTAAAAGCTGATACTTCACTATGAAAAGTGGCAGAAATGGTAGGAAATCCCCTCAAAAATGGAAAAATTTAAAGTAAAAGTTCCTCAAATTATTCTCAGATTCTCAGAATATAGAAGTAAAGAGCCAGTAAAAACTGATTGGGAGGATATTTTTAAATCAATAATTGGAAGTAATTTTAAATAATTGAACTTCCTTTATTATTTATTGATGTGTTCAGGTACACTCTGGACTCACCAGAGGGCCCATTAGTGGATCCTGTTGCTTCTGGGACTCCGAACTGCCTCCTCATTAACGGTGTGAAAGCTCTTTGAACGGCGAATGTGTTTGTAGACGGCGGGATCGAACCACAGCAACAGAGACGTTAGTGAGAAAATTCCCTTCAAACAAAGACAAAGTTGGTCTTTGTATTCTGGGCTGAAAGGTTCTTGAATACATCATACAAAGATGACATGATCTCCCAACTTTACATCAGATGCAGCACAAATTTTACCTGAATTTGAAGAAAAATAGGCAAAAGAAAATGCAAATTAATGAGCATTTCCATCCACTGCTGTTATTATTATGGAAACATTTTTGTTGGTTTCATGGATAAATGTGAGGAAAGTGAAATTTAAGTCACATGGTCACATGTACGTCAGCGTTTATCTTTAAGACTGTTTGCTTCAATCAATCCAACAACTTTCCCACTTCAGTCAAGTCCAAAAACTTTCTCTCAGTATTTTGAGATTTACAAGATTTTTTCAAGAAAAATCAACTTGTTTCGAGAATTTTCTAGAAACGTCTCTTGAAATATTGAAACAAGAAAGATTAAGTTGGAGAAGTGGATAGAAGAATAGAGAAGAATTAAACCTGATTTTAGGAGATTTTAGATTTTAGAACTTGTTTTGTTTTCATTGTTTGAACCATAAACCCACGACGACATCACATGACCTTACAGCAGAGTTTGAGGCTGGTGATCATTCAGGATGCATAAACTGTATCATGTGGGAACAAACAAACAAACAGAATAGAGATAATCATCATGTACATGCCTGAACCTGGTTAATGTTGTTGATCCCTTTTACTCTTTACTGAAGCTAGCGTCACTCCGTCCAAACTGTTCATCAGATGGTTGGAGAACTTCGGACACCCCCTCCAACACGTGTGCTTTCCACCACTGTTCACTGTGACGTCAGGAAACCCGAAACAATCAGACATTTAAGGCTCAAAATGATTTAAAAGAAAAATATATCGTGGGCGACAGAAAATCTTTCATCCACCTGTGGGCAGCGGCCGGTAATCAGGAGAAAAATGGCTTCATAAGAAGGAGCCATGTTTGGGTTCTGATCTGTATTTTAAAATCTGTAGATTTTTTTATTTCTTTTTTTGTCACCTTGTTTATTGGAGCAGCAGGCGTCTAAAGAACCGAACCATCAATCACGACTGAATGTAATTAAAAGGAAGTGTTAGCAGAGGCGCAGCAGGGCGTGTGCATGTTAAACAGACGTGCTGCGGCTCAGTAAACACTGAGGAAGAGGACGTGACCGCTCCGCCATGAAAAACAACTCGACACATGGCCGCCGCCTCCGGGCCTTTCAACCGGCGCCTCCAGCAGTAATGAGGACAAAATCTAGAACATGTGAATAAAGTGGGGTGCGTTTGTAAATCCCCTACAGTGCAGATGGTTCATGGCTCTCTACAGACGGGTGGAGTCAGATTCTACTTGGTTTCTACCCTGTTTAGACGCTTAGGGAAACTTGTGACCAAAGTAAAGAAACGGAACGAGAAGGTTTTAAAACTGGCAGCGTTTCATAAAATCACTGCTGATTTGTGTTTAAAATCAACATGAATTCACTGTTTTGTGGCAGTGAGAGCCGCTCGTATGTACCTTTTGTTTAGATGAACACGAAGGTCCGAAAACGATGCTTTTCCTTTGTTTTGTTGTTGTTAATTTTACATTTGTTGATCTGAGTAGAGGAACCGTTCTGTTGGAGAGGAGCTGCTTCTCTCCTCACGGAGGTGGAACACATACTGTTCTCTGTAGATTCAACTCTGTGACTCAACAGGACACATTTGGTTCAGCTGAAAATCTCTGTGGCACCAGTCTGTTGGCAGACAGCATTGATAAGATCTAATTAAGGTTATTATTAATGATCATGGTTTTTTTTTAATCAATTTTACCATTAGCGAGACGTCTCCAGTCGACTCTTTGCCCACTCATCATCTGGCTAACAGCTGCACAGTCTCCATTTATAAACTGATAATTAACATTTACAACTGCAGACTTGGATAGATTATTTAGTGATGATGACAACATAAAACTTCCTGTCATTAGCTAATGACAGAGATGGAGCTTTGATATGAAAAAAAAACAACTATGAAATGAGTTTTTTTAAAACTGTTAAAGATCACGTCATTTTAAGACATTTAAAAACATAATTTATATTTTACATTTTTTCACTAAAACCGTCCGTTTTACAAATGATTTGTCCGGCCACCAGTGGGCCCCGGCCCGCAGGTTGGAACCACTGGATTAGAGAAAGAGATAAGATAGATTTATTCATGTCATAATGACGTTTACATCTGCAGCCCTGGTCGTGTATTAATGCTTTATAACTTTATTATTACTGGATAGAAACATGTTGTATCTATATAGTCTGCAGCTGTAAATGTAAAGGATCAGTTTATGTCTGGAGGTTGGTCCAGATGTGCTGCAGCTGTTCTCTAAAAAGACAAAGTGTCTGCTGGAGGAGGATTTCCCACAACCTGGCAACACAAAAGTTGTCATTATTAATGGCTTATAACTGATCTATAAAGCATTAGTTACTGCTTAGTAAACGGTGTCTGGTCGTAAAGCGGTACCCAGTCAGCTCAGGTTGTTGTGTACACACCAGTGTGACACGTCTTATTCAACAGTGGTAGAAACAAGTGTAACTGTAAGTGCAGGGGGGGCAAATGAGGCAACAGGTGTGAGGTAGAAGCAGCAGCAGCAGCAGGTGGCGGAGACGCTGTGGTAAACTCTGGTTTCATCTCTTCACAGCTTTTACGTGTCGGAACAGACAGTACAGCAACATCTCCATCTGGATCTCTTCATGTGAAATATGTGTTTGTTGGTTTACATCGCTGACAGCGCCGCGGCTGCATGTGAGAGTTTGTTTATTCGCCGCACAAGCTGTTGATTCGAGTTTGGCCGAGAGGATCCTCCTGTAATCTGTTTCAACGCTCCCTCCCTGAATCACGGAGGAAAACGTGGATTCACAGTTTGAAGTACAGAAACTTCTC